TAATTCAACCTAGGTCAAAAGCTTTGAAAGTTCTGATGTCTTAGACGCTTAGACCTCCTCATCATATTTTGTAACTCACAGAAATCAGTAAGCACTGGAAAGGTCTAAATATTGAAAGCCAAATAATAATTATGGTAACTAATATTTATTGCATGCATGTTCTTCATTTGTCTATGTATCCTCTATTTATTATGTGCCTGCTATGTACATGGCACTCTGATAAGAGGTGTTACTCGTCGGTGAAGAAAACAGTTATGGTCTGGATTAACAAACTTGGTGGATTATAGGCCTGTCTAATGAGACAGAAATGGGGATAAAAGTGGAATAGATTTGATGAGGAGAATTAAGTGTTTGATTTTACATATATTAGTTCTGTGCCAGTGGAATATTTGAGTGGAAATGTTGAATGAAGCTAGAGCTAAATGCATCTGGAGCTCAGAGGAGAGTTCTGGACAAGAGCTAAAATCTTAGGAGTTTTCAGCCTGTGCCTGTCATTATGTTCCTTGCCTCACAAAGCCTATTAAGAAGTGGCTAAAATTGTCCCCATTCCACAAATGCTGTGACTGATGCCTAGGGAGGTTAAGAAACTTGAATGAAATCACAGAGTGTCCAAAGTGACAGAACCTGGGCTCAGGTTCAGGTGTGCCTTACTACAAAGTCTCTACAATTAGCTATTTCTATGAGGAATCTAAAGGCAAAGACTCAGCTTCTTAGCTAATTGGAAATCTAATCCCCTCTCACGAGAGACAAGACAGCCTTTAAAGACAATGACAGATTTAATGAAAATGATACTTTAGTAATAGAAGCATGGGAGGACTATAGAGGACAGTGGAGGGGACTTGGAGCTAAGTAAACTCTGGAAAATTTGAAGTATCTGTGGTAAACGATCCCGGTCTTACCTTTTCTACTGATGACACTTCTGTCTATGTTAAACAAGGCTTGCCAAAGAATTTGACCTGCTTCATGGCGTCTGTCTCGCACAGAGTCCACCAAGACCCAGGGCTTGTCTCCAGGTTTGGCTTCATAAAATTTTTTCCTTTCCTCTTCTTTCAATTTCAGGACATCTTTTTCCACCAAGCCAACCGAAAGGCCAGTAATGAGCTCTTTGCCCACAGATTCCAAAGTTTTAAGTAGATTTCTCTCTTGTCTGTCTTCTGTCAGAAATACAAAGATTCCTTCATTTGTGGGAACAGCTTAAAGAGTTTTGCCCTGACTTTAAAGAGCTCCCTGTAATGTGAAATACCCCTGAAAATACCTTCTGACTATTTCACTGTCTCCCCAGCAAAGTACATACCTCTTTCATTGTACCTGTAGCGTTCTTTCAGCCTATCAAATTCATACTAAGTTGTGTTTGATTCATTGCCACTTAAGATTTTTTTGGTAGCTTCTCATTTCCCTTCTGCGACATTGGGCCTAATGCTAGCTTTCTGGTCATTCACGGGGCTCATATTTCTCTTTCTCTTTCTCACAGTGATGATGATCCACCCGGAATGCATGCTTCAAGGAAAGTCCATGCTCTTACCCAAACTGTAAATTCCTCCCACTAGACTGTAGGATCTTTTCCCTCCTCTGTATTTAGTTTCCTTGGTAAAAGCATCATGCCTTTGAATCTACATCATTGTATCCACATCCCTTACCCACATCTTTATGCTTAAAATACTTAAAAGTACTTGTATGCCTCCTGAATACATGAATTAATGAATAAGTGAGTGAATGCATCTAGAGTCCTAATACTTTACATCTTGTTTCAATCAAAATTGAGAACTGAAAATAGTCTGATGACTAAACTTTCAATATGGTAGATTAATTTGATGCCAGGTTAATTTATTACTCTCTGAGATAATTTGAGTTTTTATAGGGGAATGTAGAAGTCAACATAATAAATCTTTTATTTTAATACCACAGATACATTTTGGACATATGGTATGGATACGATAGTTTATGGGAAGGCAGGATATCGCATTAATTACCAATTAATTCTGAGGGAATTATCCATTCTATCTGGATATAAGGATAGCCTTGACACAAAATGACATTTTCTGAAAAAAATGTGCCAGAATATTGAAGAACAACTTTGGCTCAGAAGCACCAGGCTCATTGTCCCCATTAACTTGAATTATTCTTTCAATAAATGTTTATTGGGTAATGATTATGAGAAAGAAACATGGAAATTACCAAGCATGAATAAAAAGTTACCTAATATCAACTAACTTAATAACAGCTAATGTCTCTTGCCCACTTATCGTGATTAAAAAAAGAAACACAGGAGGCTGGCTCGGTGGCCTAGCTGTTGAGTTCACATGCTTCGCTTGGTTGCCCAGGGTTTGCCAATTTGGATCCTGGGTGCAGACCTACCCACCGCTTGTGAAACCATGCTGTGGCACGTGTCCCGCATATAAAGTAGAGGAAGACGGGCACAGATGGTAGCTCAGGGCCAGTCTTCCTCAGCAAAAGGAGGAGGATTCGTAGCAGATGTTAGCTCCCGGCTAATAGTCCCCAAAAACAAAACCTGTGATAGCCAGGAAATCCAAGAAATACTGTGCTCCAGTAGTTAGCACCAGGGCTAGAAAGAAAGGGGGGAAAACTGGAGTCACTTTAAAAAGACTGAGTGTAATTCAACACAGGAGCTGACGAAGGGGGCAGGAATTCAAAGCCTCACTCATCTGATTCTGGGAGCAGTATTTATGACCCTGACCAGGATGACTACTTTGGAATCAAGAGGAAACCGAGAAGATTTCAGAGTACATATAGAAACTTCCAGAGTTGTCTCACACACAAGTAACTTACTCTATTTGTCTTTACCTTCCCTTTGATTGCTAGAAGCTGAAAGAAAGGAATTAACTTCTTCCTCGATCTGAGATAGCTGGAGACAGCACTTTCCTTCAGCATTTCTCAGGCAGTGTCCCCTGATTCAAGTTACACAAAGCTAACAAAGGGAAGAGTTCAGCCGGCACACTATTGGCTCACTTCCCTTTTGTTATTTCTGCCTGTCACAGTGTTTTCTAAGACCCAAGTCACTGACTCCTAGTCAGAAAAGGACCCCTACTCACCAGCCATAGGTAACAGCCTCAGACTCTTCCTGCTGCCTTGAAGAGAGCCACAGGCTTGAAAATGAAAGTTACTGGCTGTTTCCTTAGCACAGGGGGAGGGGCCATCTAATCATGAATTGTGAAACTACTGCTCAGAACTTCTGGGTTCATTGTTGGGAAATACCCAGTAGTCCGCAAATGAGTTACCCAGTCCTTTAGGAAGAAAAGTTTCTTCCTTTTGGAAGAAAAAAAATGGAAATGACAGAATATTGTCCTATAAGTTGGCCCCTCTGACTGTTTTTTCCTTCCTTTTCCTTCTCTCTCTTCACTGCCCCCACACCTCCTTCTCTCTGTCCTTCTGATCTCTCAGCATTTTTCCTTTGCTCGTCCAAAAGCACATCATGAAGAAGTTAAAACTAACAAGTCTCCTTTCATTTCCGGATAAGAATGACCCAAATTGCTTCTGTTTCCTGTTTTAACTGTGCCGATCCTGATGATATCATCCGCTCCCTGTCTCCCTGTCTTCTCAATCTTTTACTGGAGATGAGTGCTGAAGGAGCCCTGGTCTCCACTCCCCTCATGCTTTTCTTTACCTACCTGAGCCTGCCTCAACATATAATTTTTACTGACGGTGACTGCTCACTTCCCCATTTTGATTTTCTCTGAACAAAGAGTCATCATACAAGCAGTTTCAGGCTGCTGTAGAATGAATGTGTGATAGTACAAAAGACATATGTCTGGAAGAACAGTTAGTGAATGTGAAAAAGAACGACTGTGATAGTTGAACTTTGACGGTGTTCAAAATGTCAGAAGTTCATCTTCACTTTTAACAGTTAGGATTAGAAAGCGCTCATACTTACAAGTGGAAGGGTAGTTCTTCCAGTCTTTCCTGAGTCTAGCATTGCTCAGGGTGGGATTTGGGATTTCACTCCAAACTCACGATCTTTGCACCATGCAGGGACATTATTCTGCATACAACACACTCTAGTGCTTATTGATAGGGTGTCATGTCTTGTCTGCTAAATGTTTCACGTTTGCTGACTTGTCTTCTCAATGAGACTGTAAACTACTAGTTGGAGTTGAATCAAAATTACTTTGTATCCCTGAAATGCCTTAAGGAAGGATAGAAATATGTAATTTCTGGTAATGGCTTTGTGAATAGTGAACTCTGGAATGTTAGATAAGTCTGTTATCACATTATCTGCCTTCTGTGCATCTCTCTTGCTGAGCTCCAAATTCTTTGAAATCAGTTACCTACTGTGACTTGCATCTGTATTCTTAAAGCAGAAAGTCTAACAAATGGCTTCTAGAAAGAAAGAACGGTACTGTTAGCCAGTTCAACTCTTCTGGATCAAGTCTAAAAACTCTAAATCCATCGCCTGCTCTGAATTCCAACCCTTATCTTTTCAAAGTGGTAAAAAAAAAAAAAAAAAGACAATCTTTTATTTTTATTTCAGATTTATTGGAATATTTAAAGAAATATCTATTTACTACAGACATAATTCCAAAAACAGGTAGAGAATGACAGAATTCCTGGCTTCCTACAGAAAAAGGAAATAAAACAAACATGAAAAAGAATTCTGCTAAAAGAAATGCAAGTTATAAAATCACTCCATCCATGGGGACACACACACTCATAGAAGGGAAGAGCCCATGTTATGTCTAAATATCGCCCTGCTGAGGAAATGAGGAGGAACATCTAAAACCGAGCTTTCCTCACCTTATGGCCACCACTCCACCTACATCAGCTGACCCTGAGAAAGGGCCATCTAACGCTGCAGAATTTTGAGAGAAGAGCACTGCGTTCTGCACTGAACAGTAGAAAGGCATCCTTTAGATATTTCCTATTGCTTATACTAGACATTGAGACCTTGACCAGGATGAAGTTTCAGTATTCTTCTCCCGACCTTGCCCCACCTCCCTCCACACACACACACATCTATCCATAGACACTGATACCACGTACTTATTTTAATATCCTGGAAAGAGGTAGAAGCGTCTTGTCAAAGTCACTCTTTCGGCAGTGGGCATCTGTGCCCTAGCATCTGGCAACTCAAATGATAATCGGACCTAAATGGAAAAGATAGTCTATAGATTGTTCTTTTATTAGCAGAAGAATTTTCACTTAAGCTGGAAAAATTACAAAGAGTATAGCAAAATAAATCGTAAAAACCAAAAGGCCGTATATCTGTAAGAATCATAGCAACATGCATACCTAAGTATAAAATGACCAGACTTTTTAAATCTGCTGCTGGATCTAATAACTCTGGACACAGGCATATTGGAGTCCAGTTGTTCATCTATTCACAGCAAGTGGAGAGTTAAAATAAATAATTGTTTTCTAAAGGTTGTTTTGTAGATCATAACAGGTTGGATCTGGCTTCCAGGTTTGCTGATTCACCAAAGAACCTCAAAGCTCGTTTGGAGAGAAAGGCATTTTTGGAATATAAACACACCCAGTGCTGCTCCCTACATTTCCAATGGGAGTAGTCAAACATGCACGGATGTGGAGTGCAAGAAGCATCTAGAGTCTTACCTTTCGGAAAATTTCCTCCAGATCACAGGACCAGGCATATTCTTGCAAATTTTCAATGAGTTTCTCAATGAAAACAGAGCCCGTTGTGGGACTTCGCCAAGAAACAGTATCTGTGAATAAAGCACATTCCAAATCTCACACAAGGCTCTTGCCTGGCCACAGAGGTGGAGTCCTAGGAGTTCCATACCAGCTGAGGCTCCCTGTTGAGTTCAAGCTGTTTCCTATACACTGTATGCCATTTTTTAGTGAATATATTCAATGTTTGGTGAGTATTTTTTACTGATACTCAATAATTGTTAAGATCATATGAATTATGCTGTGCATTGTGCAGATGTTAGGGTAGCACAGCTTCCGAGTTCAAGGAGTCGCAAATCTAGTAGAGAGGGAGGGAAAGGCAGAATGGGGTAGAGGGGAATGATTGGACCTTCGGGAAGAAACACCTGAATGTGGATCTCAGGATTGTTACTAACTGACTTGATTTAATTTAATTATACATTCTGAAATGCAGTGGCCTCAACTACAAAGAGTAAGATGATAATTTCTGGTGCAAAGTGATATTTGAAGATTAACTATATGTGTTACAAATGCCTGGGAGAATATAGGGTATGTAATACTCAGTCTATACAGTGTAATTATACTAATAACATTTCAACTTATCTACTTTATAAATAATTTAATCAAAAATCAATTAATTCTGACCATAAGGTATTTAGACAAAGAAAATTTTAATTGAATATGAAAATGGTACCAACATAAAAGAAGTACAAGGCTAGAAGAGGCTTAACAGAAAAAGATCGTATTCTATTGAAGGACAAAACAGACTTATGGAAGAGAAATACTGAAGAATGGTATTAATTATATAAAAAAGTAGTGGCATAAAAGTCACGAGGCCATTTTAAAATTATGCAAAGAAATATATAAGAAAGAAGTGGTATAAATAGCTGTATATAGAACCAAACTTTTTAGCCAATGAAAATGGTAATAAATTGTATAATAATAATAGATTAAAATTCTATTTAAAACCACAGCTATCTTGTGAGGCTGGTTCCAGTTAAAGGGAGTAGATGGGAGAGAGCGTGGAGGCAGGGATCTCTAAAAGTTCTTTGTGAAATTAAGGGAGTGGATGGTCACTTTTCTTCAGGAGAGCTCTGTAACACAGTTGGCTTTAATGCTAGAGCATGCGGAGGTAGGTTTACTAGGGGAAGCTGAAGATAACTGAATAAAGTATCTAAGAATCATCTTGAAAGGAGCGGGGAGGAAAGTAAAAGAAAAGGAGACAGAAATCAACAAGATGGATGTAAAGAAGCTGGGAGCCTACAAATGGCTATACAGCCAGAAGTAAATCTCTTGAGGAAGGCTGGCATTAAAGGATTTTAAAGAATAGTTATGTTTAATACTAACATTTCCTAAATACACTTAAGCTGTAAATGCATAGGTTTTTTGCCTAGTGTCATTGATTTTGAGCACTGACAAAATCATTGATTTCTACATCAAGACATGGTCAACACAATGCAGAACCAGGTTGTCTCCTGAGAGATAGTATCTCATTACAGAAAATAATCTGTAAATTAAACTGTTTGAGTTGAGGCAAAGTCTTAAGGCCAGAGGCAATCAAGAGAATGAGAATGCTCAAGAAATTCCAAAATGTAGTGGATGAAAGAGTTCAAATGACTTTTATTTAAACCCTGAGATGAAAAGTTACTCAAGGCAAAATGTTGAGTTAAGTTACAAAGTGGAAACATCTTGAATAATAGCAGTCGTTTAATGTGTTCTTTACTCTGTGCCATGCTCAATATGTTGGATATATTGTCTCACTTAATTCTTAGAACAATGGTATTTGTATTCACATATATCAGTGAGGAATTCAAAGAAAGCTCTGAGAGGCTAAATAACTGGAGCCAGTTTATAAATCCTAAATGGCACGGTCAGAATATAATCAGCCGTAGTTTTAATCCAAAGCCTGGACTGAAAATCATTCAGATTTCTTGTTTCATATGCTCCATACTTCTAGTTGAAACCACTTTAACTTAGGGACTCAATCAGACTTGTCTGCTTTTCTGCTTATTCCTATCCCTTCTATAAATCCTACCCTTCTGTAAATACATGACGTCTAGGCATTGGACTGCTGAATCATCCCGAGATCGTGAACCTTTACTATGTGGAGTCAGATTCTAATTTACTTCAGTGTAGATGCTCTTCTATTTATCCATCACAGTTCCAGGTAAATATTTCGCACCACGGGAGTTTACTAGTTACTGATTAAGTAAAAATATATGCACATTTGGTCTCTGTGGATAAGGGACATTGAAGGTGTAATGAGGGGAAGATTTAATTTTTTCTTTAGAAGTCTCGTGAACACAGATATCCATTCTCTAGTGGGTGGGTCTGATTTGCTGCGCCAGTAACACCCACAAAGACCTCCTACACAGGCACTCATTACCTGGTGTTGAAGAGCAGAAAGCAATAAAATCTTTCTCTACATGGGCTTTCTTAATGGCATCATCCTCAAAATCGTCTGGAGCCAGTGAGGAGCTATTTCCAGAAGTTCCTGTTGAGTCTTTTAACCACACTACCCCTTGATTCTCTGGTAAAACAAAATTTGGTTTCTCATTATTCCAACAGTCAAGAGAACTACTTTCTCCCCATAAATCTCTGCTCAATCATATTTATTGATTTATTCATCACTATCTTTCATTCACATGCACATACACACATATCTTTTCAACAACTCATCTCTCCTAACCCTGAAATGAATTCTAACGGCATCCAATCAAAATCTTAAGACAAAAGTCCTATCTTTTTAGTTGAAAATGGAATAAATTGTCTACTAACCAGTTATACAACTCACAGAAGTTTCAATCTTGTTTGGTGACAGTGGTATACTTTGACATTAAGGAGTAGACACAAAAAAACTGAAAAATCCTGGATACATAAGATGAGGTCAATACTTGAATGTCTCATGTTCTAACAGACATCAGCACTCACCACCACGGCAGGCCTGGATAATGATCACCTTGGGTTTGTCCCTCAAATTTGGACAGTTCCTGGTGTTAAAAATTTGAAAGATGGTGTTGACTTCTAATACATCTGGGACTTTCTCAGAGAATTTCTTCCCACAAATGCCTTCTCGAATACCATGAGACATGAACACCAGGAAAGTGCTGTCAGAGGACCGGTGCTCTGGGCGGGCAGCAAATGCCTTCAGCTCTGTAGTCATGTCCTGGAAAAGACCATACCCCTGATTTTAGACAACGTGATTCATTATCATGGCACCGTGGGAATCCAATAAAAAGACACTTAAGGAATTCCTGGGTGATATAAAAATCAATGGAATGCAAAAGATAATTGAAGTCTCAATTCAGAGAAAGGTAAAGAAAGGGTTATAGAATGCCATCCATGGATTTCTAGTAGAGAGAAAGGAGAATTATTGAGTTGATAGAACACTTCCCAATTAAAAGTTTCACCAAACTCTCTCTAAAAGACCCTACATTAGAAGGGGTCACTGTAGCATGCAGCACCCTCCAATGGCAAATTTAGATTCTGGACTGTCAAGAGATTAAGTTTCTGGTGCTACAACCAAGCTTTCTAACATTCTTTAGGAATATGAAGGATATGACCATTGTCTCTACATTATGATGGACCTTACCAAAGCGGTGAGATTTTCTTTCACTTCCACACTGTACCCCAGACCTTCTAGCAGCACCTTCATACTTGCAATATCAACTTCAGCTCCAGCTCTCCTGGAAAGATTGTCAAACTCTGTGTTGCAGATAATGAGCGCAAGCCGTGTGCGGGTCATCGACTTTCCCATTATTGGGTACATCTGTAGGAAATGCAGATTGGATGAACAGACTTGTTCTTAAATAAATATTCATCTTGATTGTTTAAGACAACTTCTCCTCCCTTCATCCTATCCAGAAACCAAATCTCATGAACCATAGATAAAAACATGGAGGGGGAATGAGTCCTACTATGGAAGTGGAAATGGAGTTTTCAAATGTCTGATTAGCAGCTGAGCACTTGCTTTAATTATTTTTGAGAGGTAGGATTGTGAGAAAAAGCTTTGAAGCCAGAATAATTAATTTTTAAAACTGACTCCTCAACTTACTGATTTGGCCAAAATATTTAACTATCTGTGCCTCAGTCTCCTGGTCTCTAAAATGAGTTTTTATGAAGTTTCAAGGTGTTACTGTTTGCAACTTGCTTAGAACAGTGGCTGATTATATTAAGCATTCAATAGATGCCATTGTTGTTATAATTATTTACTCAGGGAATTGGATGAAACTTGGAACTTTCTACATAAGCCTGGGATTCTAGGAGATAAGAATCTTTTATGTAAGGGAAGCAGCAGGATGATTTTCCAGAACCTCTCAAGGAAATTGGCTCTAAAAAAGAGCCACTGCACTTCAGGATTGCCTCCAGTGTGTCTTTCATTCCCATCCCTGTGTTTTGAGAACAGCACCTCTGCTGACTTTTCTTTCCATATCCTTTCGACCACTTCTGGTGAACAAAGCTTGAGGCTCACTTTTGGCCCTGACAATGCAAGCTTAGCCAGGTCATCCGGCATTGCCTGAAGAGCTGCAAGAGACAAGAAACTTTATGAATAATGGCATCCCTGTGTGTCCCACTTGGTGTTCCTCACAGCATCATCTGTGTATAAAGTCACAGAGGAGGAAATGAATCCTTAGGAGGAGAGCCTGTGCTGGTCATCAGCACTGTTGAGTAAGTCATTGTTAATAGAACACATTCCAAGCCAGAGGAGATTTCCAGTGGTGTGACACAAGAATCTACCTTCATCTTTTAGGATCAGCATTTTTATAAATATTTTAGATTAAAAAATAGAGAGTGTTTCAAGTCCATGCATGATAAAACTCTCAGAAAACAATCAACATGTCAGATGAAATAGTTAATTATAAATTTATTTTCAATGATTTAAAGCTTTTGGTAAAATTTAATGGAGGTAGGTCTATTTTAACATATTTTTAAATGCATATGTTTATCTATCTATTTATTTGTTTTATTAACAGGCATGAGAGTAGGCATTAGAGAGATTTAAAGAAAGAAAAGAAGGAAAAAAGGAGGGAGGGAAGGAAGAAATGGCGGGCTTTTGTCCTGTCCTTTAAGATCCCTCTACGGTGGGTACATATGGGGAAGAGGAGGAGGAATATTTTCTCTGAGTTAGCACCTGGAGGAGGGCTGCCTGCTAATGAAGAATGTCCATTTTAGAATTTTCATAAATGAGAAATAAATTTCTATCCTCTCTGAGCCATTACAAATGTTTGACTCCGTTAGAGCATTGCATACCATCTTAACTGATACAAGCGTGTGTAGTGTCATTTCCATCCCTAAATTTTGGGCTATCTCTAATTTGATGGTAGAGATTCTTAATACCTATTCCTTCGTAACTCATATATTCATGTAAGCTCAATAAAAGCAGGAAATTTATTTGTCTTGTTCATTACTCTCCAAACAGTCCATAGAACAGGGTCTGTAACACAGTAGGCATATGCTGAATATTTTTCTAATGGCTTAGTGAGTAATAGTAATCCTGATGAAATTATTCAGTGAAATAGTCTTTTAACAAATACTTATTGCATGTACGTTCTAAGCCAACTTCTGTTACATGTGATCCTACCTATGCATAAGTCAGACATGTTTAATTTCCTCATAAAGCGTAAAGTCCAGTGGGGGAAAGGATGCGTTTATTTAAAAATGACAAAAAAAAATTGAGCGAGAGTTGTGGCTGTAGAATCATAGGGCACTGTAAGAATAAGGGTTCGGAAACACAGTAGTAGAAGTAGAAATGGAAAGACAGATTGGATTTGAGAGAGGAATCAACAAAACTTGGCCACTGCTTGAATATTGAAAGTGAGAGAGAAGAAAGAGCTGAAGATAATTTCAGGCTTCTGGTTTGAATAACTGGCTAATGGTGGCACCGTTAACTAAGATAGGGGAAACTGGAGGAGAAGCAAGGTGATGAAGGGTGGCAAGTTCAGCTCTGGGCATGTATAGATAAAGGTGTTTATGGGAGATGTGGGTGCATGTGTTCAGTAGGCACTTAAATAGTGAAATGTGGCACTCAGGTAGTCAGGATTTGAGACACAGATTCAGAATTTGTTAGTATAGACATGGTAGTGAAGCTGTAGGAAAGGCTTCTGCTAAAGCAGAATAGAGCACAAGAAAAAAACCATAGGATCAATCCATGAGAGTTACCCACAGCCACCTCATCTTAGGTTCATCCTATGAATCTGAAGCTAAAATCATGGAAGATGGGGTTCAAATAATTTTATTGCTTTGAAAACAGTATTACCTGGGGAGGAATGAACCACTGCTTGGGAGTCTTGTGTTTTAAGAAAATTTCCAGATTGTGGACCTGAGGAAAGATGAAGGAGATTAAAATAATTACTTACGATCTCTGAAGAATCTTACCCCAATGTGTTGAACACTCTGTATGAAAAATGCCTTCCACAGGCCTTGATCCTATTCAAGATATGACTTACCTGGAGCCACATTCATCACAAGGAAACAAAAGCCTCTGCGCATGAATGACTGAACTTTAACACTTGGGGCAGAACCAAAGTGCGGAGAAGTGAGTTTCTTGATTTCTACTTTCTAAGATGAAAATGGAATTGAGACAGCATCAGCTATAGGATCAAGAATTACCTTAATATGTGTGTTTCAAGGTGACTCTTGACAGGACTACTACTACCTAACAGGTGTGTGCAAAGTCAAGTTGTCTAACTCAGAGCTGACCTGGACTTTGGAGAAAACTAAGAAGAAAAAGCACTTGGACAATTAGCCTTGCCAAGTTTTATCACAGCAGAAAATTATGATGAGGGGTGCCACTGGCTTACCCCCTGTCAATGTTAAGTAAATTTCCTAAGTGCCATGGAACGGGAAATTGCTGGAGCCAGGATATGAACACAAATCTGTCTTGACTATCAATCTTGAGCTCTTAATCACTAAGATACTCTGCCAGCCCACAAAAGGTACTGTACAGTTGTACATGTGACAGGAGACCTGAATACAATCTCTCTGTAATCTGCATTTGCCCTACTCAGTGGCATAAGCCAGACTCTGAGGAGGAAAACACTGGAAAGCCTCAGTTACATTATTTGGTTGCATAAACTCACTCAAACTTATTAATAAATTCTCTGGGGTGCTATTTATTACGATTATCAATTTCAGAAACAAGAATTAAGTTTAATTTATTTAGGGTTTTATAAAGATCTCAATACAACAACATCCACCTTAGAAACTTATTCCAGAAACTTTAAAACTTGGCATGAGCTAACAAATGAGAAATACTCCAAGTCTTCATTTCATGGTACCTATTGAAGACAGGATTTCTATAGGCAAAATATGGTCCATTTCCTTGCCCTAAATGGAGGATAGCCATAGGATGTCCCACAAAACTTCAGACCCAAGGCATAGGCTGCAATTTGTCCCATCTTCCACTCTAGACTGCTGGACTAAATTAACCATCAATAAATTCAAGAACATTTTCTGGAGGAGGCCTTGTTATAGCAGTGGCGTGCATGCCAAGAACTTTCTTTTAGACCTCTCCCATTAAAGTACATTCAAATATTACATCTAATTATCACATTCTATTGCTCTGAAAAAATTGACAAATAGATGAGGAGACAAAGCCATGACAGCCCTGACTGCGGAGGTATCATCTGACAGCTAGAGAGGCAGACTCCAGGGGTTAGAGTTGCCACAATGGGGTGTACAAGTGCTGCTAAAATTCAAGGACTATGAGTTGAAAGGAATGGGACACCAAAGAATAAACTTTGGCTATTATACAATTATTCGAGATCCTGATTGCTATTGATTGATTGTCTTTGATTTGGGGGAGGGAGATTAAATGAAAAAGTGGTATCAAAAGAAAAACAAGAGGTTTATTACCCATAGATGAACACAGAAAACATTTGCTACATCACTCAGACAGGCATAGGCTTCCCCTAATCCCTAGGAAACAAGACTTTCTGCTTTCAAAGAACATCTTCTGAATGGCTTTCAGAAATGCAAAAGAACCCAGGAGCTGAGATTCCACCAGAGCTCCCATCTTTGCTGCGTGGAAGGACTAAGGAACCATAGGAGGGGCAGCTCAGAAGCTTGAACCTGTATTGGGCCCTCAGGAGGCCTGGAGGTAGAGTGGGTGGGCCTCACTTAAGATCTTACTTTTATAGAGGCACTCAATTTATTCTCTGTGTGTTCCACCATCACTGAAATACTTTATTCCTCCTGGAGAGCAAAATTTTGGAAAGAATTTTCAAAAGGTCTTTGATTACAGACCTTAAGCCTTCATGTCAGATGATTACTTAAGTTCCTAGGGACCCCTAGACTTTAACTAAATAACTGACTAACTAACTAAATAAATAAATAAGGTGCCTTGCCAGGAGGACTGGAGAATACAGTATGAAGCTTCTCAAACCGTTCTCATGAACTTCAACAAATGAGTTACCACATACCCAGGATGGGAAGTGAGCCTCAATCTAAAGAAGGCCACAGAGGCCAAAGAAACAAGAATCAAGAGTAAAAGAGCCAGGGGACATGCAATAAGGCCATTGCTATAGAAATAGGACCCTGAAACCAGAGGTAAGGAAGTTGCATGCACAGTAACATGACCGTTGAACTATCTGAACTTTAGTCTGAGTCGTTGATCCTTACCTGAGGATAGGCGCAGTGTCTCTGCAAGGTGGGGGTCATCTTCACAAATGTGACCGATAAAAATTTGGCATGCCTGGGGCCCTTTCCGAATGACAGCATCAATCAAAGCTCGGGCCTTATCCATAACTGTAGCATTTTCATCTCTTACTTTCTCCATCTCTTCCTGGTTCAGCACCCTTTTCTCTAACAGTTCATCCAGCAAGCTATTTACTGTACCCGTGCCCACTGAGCGGATAAACAGCCTCCTCTTTTCCTTCAGGACGTTGCCTGTTTGAAGAACAAGGATTCCTCACGTCACGAAACAGTCTCATTTTCCTCTCATGTCAGCAACAGGGAATAACCTCCTTTAGATTTAATCAATAAAATGTCCCTCTGCACAGTGCAGTAGTCCTGAGGACACCCACATCTCCTACTCTTCCCTCAGTCTTACCCACACGTGCTCACTGAGTGGCTCAAAGACTCAGATTCACTATCTCTACATAGTACCTGAAAACCAGGGATCATCCTGACATGCCCCCTGTTTATTCAACTCTGCATGATAAAATAATGAAACCGTGAAAGCCCATTTCCTTTGGGGACCACAGCTGCTGGTAGCCATCTTGTTCCAATTCTGCACTTTCCATCAGACTACGACATATAAGAATTCAGTTAATATTGCAAAATGACAGCAGGAGACCAGTAAAACCCAGTTCCTTTCTGGCCCTTGCCCTTCCTATGTAAAGACCGTGAAAGTCTTCGGGCCTCTTCCCTTCTTCCCTCTGCTCTCCTTCCTTCCTCTCTTCCCACTCCCTCGGTTCTGCTCACTTAAGCAGTCACAGAACCTAATTATGGCTTCCAAAACTATTTCTTCCCCAAAACGTGTCCTTTCAGACAGTAAGAAACTCACCCGCCATGGCTTCTCCCTGTCAGCCTTGAAGTGCGGTGTGAAACTGAAAGCCTGTTCCACCTTCCTTTTCAGCAGGGTGTATACACATGTTGCGAAATACCCACTGTGCATGTATATGCTTGACTTCATTTTTTTTTCCCAAAGAACTAACCAGATTGTTGAATCTTAGCATCAAGGAGTGTATCCTTGGGAAACTTCCTTCACCCACACCTGGATCGGGTCAGGGTAGGAAAAGGCGTGGGGCTTGGAGAACAAGAAAGGAATGAAAAGTATGTATACAATTAAACTCACACAATAGTGAATCTCTCATTCACTAGAATGTGATCTAGAAAAGTAACTCATCTTTTGGTCTCTTTGTCAATGTGGGCTGCTACAACAAAATACCACATACTGGGTGGCTTACAGGCAAGAGAAATTCATTGCTCACAGTTCTGCATGCTGGGAGTCCAAGATCAGGGTCAGGTTGGGTCCTGGTGAAGGCCTTTTCCTGGATTGCAGACTGCTGACTTCTCGCCATGTCCTCGCATGGCAGGGCCTTTCTGGGGTCTCTGTTATAAGGCCCCAACCTCATTCATGAGGGTTCTGCTTTCATGATTGGTTCAAATCCCAGAGGCCACATATCCGAATACCATCACCTTGGGCATTAGATTTTCGACATATGAATTTGGAGAGGACACAGACATTCAGCGTATAGCATTTGGAGAAGCTGGAGCACTGTGACCTGTACCGTCATGCCCCAAATCTAGACTGTGTCCTAGAAGCTATGTGTCCCTGTGAAGCAGTTCCACTTTTAGGAAGGAAATATTTTTCACCAGGATCAAATCTTTTCTAACATAATGCTTTTCTTTTTCAGGTGGCTCTGTTTTGAGGGACACTGTAGAAATTAAAAGCTCAGGTCCTGGACTAAGAATGTCAAACTTAGCATTTTAACTATCTGTTCTCAAGCAAGGTATTGAACTTTCCCATGCTTTGATTCCTCTATCTGTAAAATACTTTCATTAATAGCACATACCTACACAATTTTGATCATCAAATGAGAGAAAATGTATAAAATGCATAGAACATTGCCTGACATTTAGTAAGCACACAATAAGTCATGTTATAATTATTATTATTATTTTTTAAAGATTGGCCTTAAGCTATCATCTGTTGCCAATCTTTTTTCTTCTCTTTCTTCCCAAAGTCCCCCAGAAAGTAGTTGTATATTCTAGTTGTAGGTCCTTCTAGTTCTGCTATGTGGGAGGCCACCTCAGCCTGGCTTGATGAGTGGTGCTAGGTCCATGCCCAGGATGTGAACCAGAGAAACCCTGGGATGCCAAAGTGGAGCGCACAAACTTAACCACTCAGCCATGGGGCTGGCCCCAGTGTTATTACTTTTAATATCAATATTTTGCACTAGAAAAATTACCAAGGTTAATTATTTGTGGATTATCCATTGAGTTTATCTTTTGTGAGAATCCTCATGCATCTCTTCCATTCATCCATTTAGCAAGTATATATGAATGACCTATTCCATGCCAGACACTGTTCTAGGTGGTAGGGGTTCAGTCAAAACAGGCAATGGGGGCCGGCCCAGTGGCACACTGGTTAAGTTTGCACGTTCTGCTTTGGTGGCCCGGGATTCGCCGGTTCAGATCGTGGGTGCGGATGTGGCACCGCTTGGCAAGCCATGCTGTGGCAGGCGTCCCACGTATAAAGTAGAGGAAGATGGGCACAGATGTTAGCTCAGGACCGGTCTTCCTCAGTGAAAAGAGGAGGATTGGCAGCAGTTAGCTCAGGACTAATCTTCCTCAAAAGAAATAAAAACAAAAACAGACAATGGTCCCCTGCCCCCATGGCCTCACATTCAAGAGACAAAAATGAAACCCAATATGTAACTTGGATATTCAGAATATTGTAGTGTAGTGAGCACTAAAGAAAAGAAATTTATTAGGGAAATGGGTAATGAAATATTGGAGAACTCATTAAAACTGAAGGCAGAGGAGCCCAGGAACACCCAAAGAGGCCATTGCTTTCAGTGAGCACATGTTCAATTGACCGTCCCAGAAATAAACTCCATATGGTCAATTTATTTTATAGCTGTTTGATAAAAGATGAACTAATAACGAAATGCAGATATTAGCCCTACACTTTTCAATTTATTTACTGAAAATACTCTTAGATTTATTACCGTACTATCTTAAGAGAATAAGGACTCAGAGTTACTAAAACGTTCAATGCATGCGTGTGTGTGCATGAATGCGTGCACGTGAGTATATGTGCACACGCGCTTGAAATATCTAAATTAAATATTGATAGCTCTATTATTACATTTTAAAACTCTATACAATTAAAAATACACTTGTCTTTTGACATGTGGGCTCCAGTTTTGCTTCCTTAGTCTCTAGGCTAAGTATTACCTTTATTTTAATTGAACTAAAATTCACTGTCTAGATTTTAATCTTTTTCTCAGGATATTTTTATTTTTACTTTTCTACTTGCCCAGTCCAGTTGGCAGCACAATCTTGTGCTCCTTGCCACAGGGAAACATTGCAGGGAAAAAAGCAGAAACTGCATATATATTGTCTCCCTTCTACTTTTCTGTATATTTATTTAGTTATTTCCCAAATGCCTAAAAGATTTCACATGAAGGTTTTTCCACCAGCCAGGACCAAACACCACTGAGTTGAAGCAGGCTGAGGTGGCATCCAAGCCAGAGAAGGATGGCGAGGCATTGGACCTGGGGTTGTAGAACCCTAAGCTCATGATCAATTGATTATCTCACTGACCCTGGGAAGCTAAGCAGAGAGCCACTATGTAGCAAGGGCCCACTGTTTCCTCAAAAAGGATGGTGCTAAACACTGGAAACATCCCAAATATCCATTGTAGGTGCTTGCATGAGTAAACAAATTGTGCTATATGCATGCACTGGAATACTACTTAGCAAAAAAAAAAAAAGGAGCAAATTATTGATATATGCAAAAAGATAGGTGAAAAAGTTAAGCTTTTATTATGAGTGAAAGAAGCCATATACAGCAGAATATATGCCTTATGCTTCCAATTATATGAAGTCCTAGAATAGGAAAAAATAATGTATTGTGATAGAAATCAGATCACTAATTGCCTGAGGAGGAGGTAAAGGAAAATTGAGTGCATAGGGTATGAAGGGACTTTCTGACGTGATGTAAATGTTCTCCGTCTTGATCGGGATATTGATGTACTAAAATATGTGTCAGTAATAATCAAATTGTATCCTTAAAATGGTTACATTTTATTTTATATAAATTATACCACAATAATCTTTAATTAAAAAACTAAAATCAATGGTTGCAATGATAGACTGGATTGGAAAGGATTTTCTTTCTTTGTTTTTCTGGACACACTCGAGCATCCTCAAATCAGTCAAAATTCTGGTAAGCGGAAAAGGTTCTTACAGTGAGTAAAATGGAATTACCTACGTTGAATGGGGATTTTTAGATAGAATAAAAATAGTTTATAGGGATAATTTATAGCGGTAATCAGTTTATCAGCTAAGCTATGTACCTAGAAAATAGTATTACATAGATGGAATATTAATTACATAGATAAAATCATCTTAAATTAATGTAGCTGTCCAATTATAAGTAATGTTTTAAAAGAAGCATGATGATTTAAAAATCCTCATGTCGAAATTGCCTGTGATAGCCCATCCATGCAACAATATCATTTTTAATAACAGTAGGTGGCATGAAAATCTCTTACACAGAAGGCAAAAGATCCCTGTGTTCTGGTTGTGCCATTTTCAACCCTTAGAAAGCCATCACCCTCTTAGCTTACCCATTTCTTATTCTCCTTTATGGTTTTAGGGCTGTTAGAACATTGCAATTAATACTTCTTAATAAGAGCACTAGCCAATCATAACATGTTATTTTATCTTTCCTTTGTGTAACACCTTCCCTTTTGTACAGCTTATCAACATAGACTTTGAGGTCCAATAGCCCTGGGATCAACTTCCATCATTAGCTGTAGATCTTGGACAATTTATTTAACATCTCTAAGCTTCTATTTTCTCATCTGCATGGGGGAGTTCATAATTATTCTTACTTCCTAGGATGGAATGGTGGGTGTGACTCCCACCTAGTGTGGTCATGAGCCATATCCCTGAATCAAGGTAATACCAAAACATTTTTCTTTTTAAAGAGCTTCTAAATTTTTCTTATGCTTTATTTCATGGCTTATCACAACAACTGTGTAGGTTAGGCAAGTTAAATAAGCATTGATTCCATTTTGCGCATAAGACCAGGTAAACAGTTGGTTCAGAAACTTGGCAAGCGCACGTTATGGAACTTGGGTGAGACGCCAGCTGTACCCCCATTCAATACTTGCCCTGTGTGATGTGCTACTCCCCAGCGTGCACTGCTC